AACCCAATCTCTCTTTTCTTCTCTGGGCTCCTGAATCTTTCTACTGTTACTCATGTCTACTTCTATAGCTGTCTTTCAGCCACCCACCTAATCTTTTCGGATAAGGGCGAACGTTCTCGGAGGTCCTGTGTGCTGCTCGTTAAGGATCCCTTGGCGACCCTAATATCGATAAGAGCAAGCTTCGACCGCCACGCGGGCAAAATTCAAACTTAATTTTTACCAAACTGAAAATGCAGTGTGTCCGCTCACTCCTATGACATTATGCAGTTGTGAGCGCCGTAAAACACTTGCCAAAATCATTGTCCTAATGCACAACCAAGTCATCATGTTCAGATCAACCTACATCTCGTCTAGTAGATCAAAAAGCTTCATCAACAACACCTGTCACGTGACATTTTACAGGCTGCCTTCACCGATTCTCACATAACCCATACCCTATCCGATGTCTTCTTCGCCGGAGTCGATACCACAAGACACACTCTGGCCTGGATATTTCTTTACCTGGCTTTGAACCCGGACGTTCAGAGGAAAGTGCAAGCAGAAATCGATGACATTGTCGGTGAGTGAGTGAGTGGGTGGATGAGTGAGTGAGTGAAATGTTGGGTGAGTGAGTAAGTGAGTAAGAGAGTGAGTGCTCGGACAATTTTATTCAAAACAGGTGTATTTTATTATTGAAGTTACATTTTTTTTAAACAAGGATACAAATTTTAATGAAACAATGGATTACTTTTTTGTACATCTAAATTACCGTTTTATTTTATTCTCCCCTTTGACCTCTCAGGAGACGCTGTACCTGGCAGAGAACACAGGCCAGGACTTGTCTCAAGGAATAATGACGTAGTACACAGTGGATGTTATACAAGAAGTAGTGGCATAGAACACAGTGCATGATACTCAGGAAGTAGTGACGTAGTGCACTTCACCTACACCTTCACCTATCCCGTAGACTGGACGTCCGTCGGGGCACTTTTGAGGATTTGGCTACCAGCTTCCTCCACTCCTTCCGGTCTTCAGCTTTCCTTGGAGCGTCTTTGAGTTCCAGGCCTGTCCATTCCTTGATGTTGTCCTCCCAACTCTACATCTGTCTGTCTCTTTTTCTTTTTCCTTGGACGCTGCCTTGTATGATCATCATGGGTGATGTGTCCACATCCTAGTTGTTTACGTTCCCTGACCAGAGTGAGCAGGTCAGCATATGGTCCAATTTCATTTTTGATCCCTTGTTTGACTTCCTCATTTGTGATGTGGTATTTGTAGGAGATACCAAGGATTTTTCGGAAGCATCTCATCTCCACAGCTTTGATCCTTCTTTCCGTTTGCATTCAAGGTCCAGGATTCATACGTAGTACACAGTGGATGTTATACAAGAAGTCGTCATATAGTGGATGTTATACAAGAAGTCGTCATATAGTACACAGTGGATGTTATACAAGAAGTCGTCATATAGTGGATGTTATACAAGAAGTCGTCATATAGTACACAGTGGATGTTATACAAGAAGTACAAGTTGTCATATAGTACACAGTGGATGTTATACTAGAAGTTGTCAAATAGTACATAGTGGATGTTATACAAGAAT